CCTTTCCTTTCCTTTCCTTTCCTTTCCTTTCCTTTCCTTTCCTTTCCCTCTTATATAGCCCTCCACTGACCACAGCTGCATTGAGAGTCTTGCAAGAGTGCACAATCAGATTTGCAGGAGTGATATCGATAGAATAAGACTGGGAAACTAAAGTTATGAAAGCTACTACCACTTTTCCTGTAGAGATTAGAGTAACAGAATCTTGTAAATCTGAATGACTCTCCTTTCCCTGCTTTTATCCTGAAGAGAACTAGGCAATCTCAAGACTTCCTATTTTTTTCTTTTTGTTTCTGAGTTTAGTTTGTATTGTTTTTTATTATTGTTCAAATTTTTTAAAAATCCATTTTGCAGTATATGGAATCTCCCCTCAAGTACGAGCAAGTCGGATCGTAAAAATTATATTTTATTAACTGTAGTGCTACTATTACAAGAGATAACTTTTAAAATAAGCAAATTATTTCCATGTACAATCAGCAATAAAAATACATTAGATTAATTGCATTCTAATTTATAAATATATATATTTATTTATTTATATTTAAACATTTAGTGATGATACTTCTAGACAGCACTAACATGCAATGAAATAATATAAAGACTCTACAAGGTTGTACTTTACAATAGTGCCTAAGATTTTAATTTCCAAAGTAAAAGAAAAAAGAAAAGAAAAATTCAGTGTGTACAAAAACCACAATAAAATACAGTTACCGTCAATAATTACAAGGCATTGAAAAAACTTGAAATCACAACAAGGAATGTATTTATTTCAAAAAGAGCATCTATAGAAAAATAAACCAATGATTCCAGATTGCACTGTAGAAAAGTGGCCATTAAAAGCATAAGGGAGAGGCAATTACTGTAGCTGTCTTATTATCCTTTTGTACACCACCCAGAAAGAGAAAAAAGAATGTCTGTGCAAGTACTTGGGAAAAGTCAATGGACAAGAAACGCACAAGAGCACCTGGGATCCTTCCTTATTTGTATTTGTGAAACATTTCAAAAAAACACGTTTGTAAAGAAACCCCCCAAATAGAGACAAATTGCTAAATTGCAAAAATGCAACCCTAAGTAATGTGGAACTAAGACTAAGAGACAAGTGAGAAAAATGTGCAAGTAGAAATTTCCTTCATCTAGCCTTGAAAGTATTTTCTGAGAGATTTGGAAAACAGTCCTAAGTGAAGAAATACAAAAATGTCCAGTGGCCTCAGGACTCCATCTGCAAATCCATTCCCTAACCTGGGTATCTCTTTGGATTGACTGGGGTTTGGCTATCTGAAAATGCTTTCAACGCTGGTCTTTCATTCTTCATCTTTTTCTAATTCTTCCAGATGTTTTGGGACTTCAGTTCCCAGAGTTCCCAGCACTATAGCCAAAGACTAGGATTTATGGGAAATCAAGTCCTAACCCATCTGGGAAGATAACCAGGCTGGAGGAAAAATCTTGCAGCTGATTAGATCAAATCTGTTTCAGAAAACCAGTTGATTAATTTTGAGTTAGAAGGAGCAGCTCAAGAAAACCCGCTTTTTAAAAAAATAAGGACTGTTTGTTTTCCTTTTTTAAAGGAAGGAAAATTGGCAATTTCCCCCTTTCCAATTCTAGCAGGTGCCCTTCAATCCGTGTTATGTGTCAACATTCACAGTGTCGGAGTTTTTCACCTCCGTGCATCCATAGTTCAGCAGGTCTTCTGAGACACTTTAATGGTGACTGTCTTCACTTCTGTGTATTC